ATTATGATTTTTACTGTAATACATTTTTTAATTTAAGCTTTCAGTCCTTGTACATGACCTTGGGAAGTACGTCATCTCCACTCTGTGTCTCCATTCCCTCATCTATAAAACAGGGATCAAAGCTATGCTGAGGGTCCGGTGAGGTGGTCTATGCGAGGGGTTCCGTAAGGCTGGTAAAGTTGGCCCTGGACCACCTGCCCTTGCCCTCACTTGGGAACTTGTAGAAATGCAAATCGTCAGGCTCCTCCCCAGCCAGACTGAACCAGGAGTGATCTGTCCCTGAACAAGCCCTCTAGGTGGGTCTGGCACAGGCTCGAGTTTGGAAATCTCTCTTCTGTGCGCCGTGCCTGACCTGAGGACACTGCAGGCGCTTAACAAATGGTAGCTGCGTGTGACCTTTAAACTCCTTGCACATGGGCAGAGACCAGATCAGTGGCAGCCCCGCTGGGTTGGTGCACGAGCACACGTGCTGCAGTCTTTCCTGCTTGTCCACCATGTCTGCAGCCAGCATTGCCCCAGAGTCTCTGTCCTCGAACCCCCAGCTCTGCCGCCCTCAACACCGTCCCCACAGCATGGCGCTTGGGTCCCGAGAGAAGTGGGCGGGCTCTGAGCTCCAGCTCCCTCCTCAGAGCAGAGCCCTGAGCCACCATCCGGAAGCACCAGGAGCAGGCCTCCACCTTCCTGAAGTGCGCTTGGGGCCTTGTGAAGTCCCTGAACCTGTGCCCTCCTTCCCTCCCTCTGCTGCTGCCCGAGTGCAGGTGCTGGACATCAACCAGGCGGACGCGGGCAGCCTGCCCCTGGACTCGTCCCGGAAGGTGCGGGAGGCCCTGACGTGCGAGCTAAGCAGGGCTGAGTTTGCCGAGTCCCTGGGCCTGAAGCCCCAGGACATGTTTGTGGAGTCCATGTTCTCTCTGGCTGACAAGGACGGCAATGGCTACCTGTCCTTCCGGGAGTTCCTGGACATCCTGGTGGTCTTCATGAAAGGTGAGGCCTGCCCAGGGGAGGGCAGGCCATCTGAGAAACCTTCGGGCAGGGAGGTAGCTGCGTCCTCCACTCTCTCCCAGGCTCCTCGGAGGATAAGTCGCGCCTGATGTTCACCATGTACGATCTGGATGGGAATGGCTTCCTCTCCAAGGACGAATTCTTCACCATGATGCGGTATGGGCTGAGCTGTCCCCTGGGCTTAGCCAGGAAAGCAGGACAGGCCCTCTACGCCCTTGGGATGCCTTCAGATCTTTGCAAGCTCCTTTACTGGGTGTCTCACACGATGAGATAAATGATGGGCAGATGACCTCGGTCTCTTCTAAATGCCGCTCCGCATTCCCGCCAGCAGTGAAACCATGGGACATTCCTCTGCCTCCCAGCCCTTGCCTCTCCCTGCTTCTTAAGCTGGTTCCATTTTGGGTGGCCGATAAGGACCAGCTTTGAGCCCCCTGGACTTCTCATACTAAGGTCGCCTGGGTAACACAGCCCCCTTCGGGTTCGGAGGCAGGACTCCTCTCTCTCCCGTGTTGAATCGGCTTCCTGCACATTAAGAGATTGGCACATAGTGGGCATTCAAGGTGCCCATGTCGCAGCCCTGATTCTTCTTCATTTCTTCCACTTTGTGTCTCCACGGCTCCGAGCGCTGCCCTCCCTGTGCCCTCCCTGTCCATCTGCCCCCACTGGACTCTGGTTTCCGCAAGGCCCAGCCTGGTTGCAGTCTGTCCTTCCGCGGTGTGGCACTGCGCCTGAGCCCTCCCGCCTCCCCTGTACCTCACTGTGGGTCTTGCTGTCTCTGCGGGACGATGCTTTTTAACACGACCGTGGTGCTTGCTGCACCGTGCGGGCCCAGGTCTTTCTCTGCTGGCCCTGCACACATTGGCGTAGATGGTTTGTCCAAGCTCAGGAAAGAGCGTGGCCACAAACTGCCACAGCACAGTGAGACTGCACGTGCAGACGCTCCTGTCCGTGGCCTGCGGGGCTGTGCCCTCTCCTTCCAGGGTGTGCAAGCTGTGTGCTGGCACAGGAAGCGGCAGCCCTTGCAGCTACACCCCCGCCCACCATCTGGTTCCCTGGGGTTATGGAAGTGGAGTCCCAGGGGTGGCATGGGCCACATCCACAGAAGGGGATGGGGCGCCCGGGACGCAGCCCTGCACTGATTAGATGCTCATCCCCAGCCGTAGATCCCATGCTTGAGGGCTGCTTTCTGTAGCTGGTCAAGGTCACCTTCAACTCTGCCCTGTCTTCTGCGCCTGTGGCCACCCGCCCCCTTCATGCGGACTAAGGCTGGATGAGAACCTGCTGGTGCCATGTCCCGAGTCATGGGTGACCACAGTACAGGATCAGATCGAGCCGGCACACCCTGCCCTTCCCCGGGGCCTGACCTTGCGGGCGACAGGCTGTTCTATCTTGCGTCCCCCAGGTCCTTCATCGAGATCTCCAACAACTGCCTGTCCAAGGCCCAGCTGGCCGAGGTGGTGGAGTCCATGTTCCGGGAGGCCGGCTTCCAGGACAAGGAGGAGCTGACCTGGGAGGATTTCCACTTCCTGCTGCGGGACCACGATAGCGAGCTCCACTTCACGCAGCTCTGCGTCAAAGGGGGAGGCAGAGGTGTGTGTGTGTGTGTGTGTGTGTGTGAAGAACATCTTCAAACAGAGTTCCTGCCGCACAGGCCTGGGTCTTTCTCTTCCCGAGTCCTTGGCACCTAGGCTTGAGTGGGCTGTGGTATTCAGTGCCGCCGTATCCGGGTGTCCAGGTTGCTCACTACACGGAGATGCTTGCAGAAAGCCAGCCTGCACACCTCTCACAGCCAGGGGCACTGTGCTCGCTTGCATCTGGCCGGGGAAGAGGTACCGTTTTCTTTACACAGAGGACGTAAAGACTGTGCACACCTATAATGGCAGCACTTGGGAGCCTGAGGCAGGGAGAGCATGAGTTCAAGGCCAGCCCGGGCTACATAGTGAGAGCTTGTCTCAAAAAAGAAAAACAGAAAGACGAGCCGGCTTGCCTCTGCCCGGGGAGCACCGCTCTAACTGATTGCACACAGTGGCAGCGCTGTCTGCTCAGTGAAGCGGGTGCCCAGCGTGCAACAGGACTAGAATCAGAGCTCAGGACTTGACCTGTTTCTGGCAAGTGCCGCCCACCCCACTGCCCCCCGGGCAGCCAGGCGGCCTGTTCTCCTTCCAGGTTTCGGAGACGTCTTCAAGCAAAACAGCAACTGTCGGGTCTCATTCATCGCTCGGACCCCAGAAGAGCGGTGAGCAGGGGGAGGCGCTGGCTGGGTGGCCAGTCCCCTGAAGAATATCCGAGGGAGGAGGGCTGGCTGGCTGGCTGGCGTCAGGCCACCCCAACTCCAGCTGCCGCCACGCCCGCAGCTGCTGGGGAGCCGGGCCCTCTCCCTGCCACTCCAGGCAACAGAGGAGCCGCCCTGCCTCCACCTGAGCTTCGGCCTGGCAGTGCTCCACGCTGCAAAGACATGGCGTGAACAGGCCCCACTTTCCTTCTCTCAGCTCCAGCCCCCCGGACCTGGCACCCTCTGCCTCAGGGACCCCTGAGCTGGGAGGTTCTGGGCTAAAGAAGAGGTTTGGCAAAAAGTGAGTGTTTCCCAGATCTTGGGGCCCATGGAGGAGTGGAGCGATGTCTCGGAGGCTCTGGGCCCTGCCTGCACCCCCGTGACTTAAAGGGACCATCCCGAGTCTCATTCGATTTGTCCCTGACCCGACCGGGGGCCAGAGGGCCGGAGTAGCTTTACATTCTCTCTCAGCCCTGACTCCCATTTTTCAGGCACAGGGCCCAGCTCAGAAACAACATGGGGATGGTAGCGAGGGGTCTCCTGGCTCCTGCTGCAGGGAGCAGGGTGGGGGGTGCAGAACAAGGCGGAGGAGGAGGAGTCACAGGCGGGCTCGGCCGGCAGGCAGAGATGAGCGAGGGTCGGAGCAGGAGCTGGCTTCCTTCCTTGTCTTTTGTGGCCCATCCTGACCCTGGAGGTCTCCTGGCCCGCTTGCAGGGGTGGCCCTGGGGACAGGCTGGGATGTTCTCCTTGCCCACCCGTCCCCTCTTGGCGAAGGGCACTGGGGCCGCCTCCCCGGCTGTACACGGAGGCGCTGCAGGAGAAAATGCGGCGTGGCTTCGTGGCCCAGAAGGTGCAGGAGTTCAAGCGCTTCGTGGAGAACTACAGACGCCACATCGTGTGTGCCACCATCTTCTCGGCCATCTGCGTGGGCCTCTTCGCGGAGCGAGCCTACTGTAAGGGCGTGGGCAGAGCGGGGAGCTCCCAGCCCAGCCTCGCGCGGTGCTGATCCACCACTTCGGGCCGCAGACTACGCCTTCGCCTCACCACCCACGGACATCGAGGAGACCACGTACGTGGGCATCATCTTGTCGCGGGGCACGGCGGCCAGCATCTCCTTCATGTTCTCCTACATCCTGCTCACCATGTGCCGCAACCTCATCACCTTCCTGCGGGAGACCTTCCTCAACCACTACATCCCCTTCGACGCCGCCGTGGACTTCCACCGCTGGATCGCCATGGGCGCCGTCCTCCTGGCCAGTACGCAGCCCCCGACCCACGGGGCAACGGCAAGGAGCCTGGGAGCCCTGAGGCCCCGTCTCTCCTCCCTGTGCCGCCTCTGTCCCTCGGGCTGGGGGAGTGTGGGCCCCAGGGGGCATGGCGGACACGGGCCTCTCTTTCAGTCTTACACAGTGCCGGCCACGTGGTCAATTTCTACATCTTCTCAGTCAGCCCCCCCAGCCTGCTGGCCTGCGTGTTCCCCAACGTCTTTGTGAATGTCGGGTCAGTTCTGGGGTCTCCTGGAGCGGGCCTCAGGGTGTGAGAGGGACAGGTGGCCAGGACCGCTCGCTCCTCACGGAGTGAAAGTGCAGGGGGCCCCACTTGGCCGAGAGGTGGTCACCTTGCCCTTCAGAAGGGACCTGGCTGGAACTTGCCAGGGAAAGTGTTTCGGAGAAGAAGCTGGACGTTCTTTCCCATAGGTCCCTGGCACACAGCTTCTGCCATCTTGGTTTGCCATCCTTTCATTGGGCGGGCACTTGCGGACACATCTTTGTTGGCCATCCAGGGCCAGAGAGCAGGGTCATCACGATACTGTCACTCGGCAGACTCCTGTTGAGTATTCACTCCGTGCCGCACCCAGGCATGGAGAGTGAGCAAAACATAAGCCCCTGTGGAGCTTATAAAATAATAATTCTAGTGCCAAGGAACCAAGGGCAACTGCAACAAGAGTTTAGAATAGCACAGGAGGGAAAAGGCTGGGCGTGAGAGGATGGGTGCTGGGTCCCGGGTGCCATGTTCCTTGGGTACCTGGCAGGAACTCTCCTGACCTCCGCAGCCAGGGCCAGCAGCAGGAGGCAGCCTGTGCGTGACACTGGTGGTGTCCCGCCTCAGCCAGAGCTCACTGTGTCTCTGCCCCACAGGTCCAAGATTCCCCCGAAGTACTACTGGTGGTTCTTTGAGACCGTTCCAGGTAGGGGTGTGGTGGGTGCGGGACCTGGAGGTTCCTCGGAGGACACCTCCCTGAACACGCACTGGTCTGTAGGGACCATGGGGTCCGGTCCAGCCCCCCAGGCCCTCCTGGGATGAGAGGAAGGGAGGCAGAGTGGCAGCACACTCTGGTGTATTTCGGCCCAGGCCACTCGGACTGTCTTCCTGCCCCTAGGTATGTCAGGGGTGCTGCTGCTGCTGGTCCTGGCCGTCATGTACGTCTTCGCCTCCCACTACTTCCGCCGCCGCAGCTTCCGGGGCTTCTGGCTGACGCACCACCTCTACGTCGCGCTCTACGCCCTGGTGAGGCCTCTTCTGGGCAGGCCAGGCGGGGGGCGAGGGGCTCAAGGTGAGGTGAGAGGCGGGTAACGGAGGGAGCTTTAGACCCAGGATCTCAGACGGAGCCCTGAGATCTGTGGCCTCGGACTCAAGCCCGTGCCACCCACCCAGGTACACGGCCCAAGCCACAGTGGGCAGACAGTGCCAGGGCGAGCGGGGCCCAGTGCTTGGCTGGGCCCAAGCTCTACTAACTGGCTGTGTCTTTAGCTCATCATCCATGGCAGCTTTGCTCTGATCCAACTGCCCAGTTTCCACATCTACTTCATGCCCCCGGTCATCATCTACGCGGGGGACAAGCTGGTGAGCCTGAGCCGGAAGAAGGTGGAGATCGGCGTGGTGAAGGCCGAGCTGCTGCCCTCAGGTACCGGCCTGGCCTGACCTGGGGGGAGCAACGACACAGGTTCCTCGGCCTCGGCGGAGCCTCAGGCCTCCCGAGCCCTTCGCCACCTGACACCCTCTGGGGACTCTGGAAGCTTTCCCGGTGGCACTGCAGCCCTCGGGGGCAGGGAAGGGAAGGGCTGTGCCTGGCCTCTGGGGCACCTGCACACAGTGGGGCACCAGTAACTGGGGAGGCAGCAGAAAGCAAGGCAGGGTTTGCAGGTGATAAAGACCCCAGCATGGGTGGCCAGGGCAGGGAGCCTCAGAGTCAGGCACATGGCCCGGATCCTCAGTGGGGATTCCGTGGAGGTGGGGGACGGAGTGAGGTGTCAGAGCACCGTCTGACCTTCAGGACTTACTGTACGGCTAAGGGAGGGACGTCTGGTAAACTCTGAGGGATCCCGGGGGTCCCAAGTCCCTTCATCCTGCAGGCGGGGATTCCTCACCAGGAAAGGGAAGAGAAAGGAGGAGAAGGGCTGGAAGGAAGCAGAACCCCGAATGTGTTACCCAGGACGGAAAGGGAGACCCCCACTCCCACTGGCCGAGACCTTGTGGCCCTGCGACAATCCCTGGGCCATGGGAGTATAGGGGGAAACGAGCCAGTCCTAAGTACCAGGAGTGACTTCTGACTGCTTCCCTTCCCTGCCCACGATCCCCAGGGGTGACCCACCTGCAGTTCCAGCGGCCCCAGAGCTTCGAGTACAAGTCGGGGCAGTGGGTGCGGATCGCCTGCCTGGCTCTGGGGACCAATGAGTACCACCCCTTCACGCTGACCTCCGCGCCCCACGAGGACACGCTCAGCCTGCACATCCGGGCGGTGGGGCCCTGGACCATCCGCCTCCGGGAGATCTATGCGCCCCCGACAGGCAAAGGCAGTGCCACCTACCCAAAGGTACCCCGCTTCTGAGCCTGTGCTCTGGCAGAGGGTCCCTGCTTGCCCTACCTGGGCCTAGATACTGCGGCTACCCAAGACCAGGCTGGGACGCTCCCCGGGAACAGGCCTGCCCGATCCTGGCCTCAGAGTGGCGGTGAGGCTGGGATCATCTCACCTCTCTCTCCTCTTGGCAGCTGTACCTCGATGGGCCCTTTGGAGAGGGGCACCAGGAGTGGCATCAATTTGAGGTGTCGGTGCTGGTGGGAGGGGGCATCGGCGTCACCCCCTTCGCCTCCATCCTCAAAGACCTGGTCTTCAAGTCATCCTTGGGCAGCCAGATGCTCTGTAAAAAGGTGAACGTCCCCCCTCCTTTCTCCAGATGGGGAGCAGGTGGCCTGGCGCCTTCCCAGCATCTCCACACGGGGCATGGAGAAAGCTCCGGACAGGCTAGGAATTTAGCTCAGTGGCAAAGTGCCTGCCTGGCAAGTGCAAGGTCATAAGTTCAATTCCCAGTACCGGAAAAAAACAAAACAAAACAAAAAAGAGAAAGCTCCTGGCTCCCAGGTGCTGGGTCCACAGGGGCCATTTACACCCAGCAGTTGAGAAGCCAGGCTTGGAGGGATGGAGGGTCGAGGTGTAGCTAGGGGCCTCTGCGGGCATCTGTCCCTTGGAGGCCTGGAGCCAGGCTGCTGGCGCCTGTCAGAGCTCTACTTCCTGTGCGTGCCTGGGGGTTCCCAGTCTCCGGGAAAGCACCCCGGATACAGGGGGCCTGCGCTGAGCTGGTCCTGAGCCGAGCTGGTCCTGCGCTCCCGTGCGTCCCCAGATCTACTTCATCTGGGTGACACGGACCCAGCGGCAGTTCGAGTGGCTGGCCGACATCATCCGGGAGGTGGAGGAGAACGACCGCCAGGAGCTGGTCTCCGTGCACATCTACATCACGCAGCTGGCCGAGAAGTTCGACCTCAGGACCACCATGCTGGTAGGTCGGCGCGGCCGCCGGCGGGGCTGGGAGTTGGCCCCGAGGCCGGGCTGTGACCTCACGCGTCCCTCCCAGTACATCTGCGAGCGGCACTTCCAGAAGGTGCTGAACCGGAGTCTGTTCACGGGCCTGCGCTCTGTCACCCACTTCGGCCGGCCCCCGTTCGAGGCCTTCTTCAACTCCCTGCAGGAGGTGCACCCGCAGGTCGGTCCAGCCTTCCCACCCCACGCCACTGCTTCCCTGCTGGTCGTCTTGGCCCTCCTGCCCTGTGCAGCTCAGTTCTGAGCAGAGAACCCCAACTCCGGCCCTGGGGTGGCATGAGGTGTTGGAAGAGACTTCGCCTCCCCAACAGCTGAAGCCTTCTCTCGGGGGCCCGGGGTAGAAAGCGGGTCATGGTGGGGAGCAAGCCTCTCAGGGATCCAGCCTCTCCTTCCTCCGTCACCCGACACAGGTCCGCAAGATTGGCGTGTTCAGCTGCGGCCCCCCGGGCATGACCAAGAACGTGGAGAAGGCCTGTCAGCTCATCAACAAGCAGGACCGAGCCCACTTCATGCACCACTACGAGAACTTCTAGGCCCGCCCTCCCTGCCTGCCGCTTCTGGTTTCCTGCCCTGGCTCTGTGGCCCATGTTGCTGTCCCTGCTGGCAGTCTCTGCCCCGCGGCCCATCCACCCTATGCTTGAGGAGAGAGAGGAGGCCACCACGGCGGGTTGTGGGAAGCCAGGCGGGCGGGGGACAGTTTGCTTGTGACGGCCGTGCAAGTAGAAGTACACAGCACTGGTGTCTTCCCATGAGTCCCCGTTTCTCTGTTTTGCTTCCTTTTCAATGTGTTGCTGTGTCATTCTCCCGAAGGCGGGGAGAGACAGGGCTCTCTGAGCCGGAATCTTCCCAGGCCCAGCTGGAAGCCCCGCTGCCTCAGTGCAGTCCCTGGGCCTTTCCCCTCCACTCTGAAGGGGGGCAGCCCACCCCAGCCCAAGGAGGACACCAGGGACGGAGGTGCCTCCAGCCCTGAAGTCCCAGTGTCCGCCCTGATGCCCACTGCCCTGAGGCCCTGGCAAGTCCCTCTCAGAGCCCGCTGGGGCAGTTCCTGGATCCTGGGGCCTGGGGGCCCCAGCGTCTCTGCCAGATCCCAAAGCTCTCTCAACACCCGCCCTCCGGAGGAGTTGGGAGATCAGGACACCTGCCCAGGACACCTGCAGTTCTAACATTGGAATTCCCATCCCAGGAAACTCCTGTCTCCTGGGAAGATTAGGCCAGGTGATCACCTTTCCCTGGAGCTACCCTGGGATGTCCCCTTTATATCCCTGAAGACCCTCACTCCCCGTCCCTCACCTGGCTCTTTCCTAGAAGGCTGAGCTGTGTAACGCATCTTAAATTGAGGTACACAGAGTGTACAGACCTTAAAGTAACCACGGAGCTCTTACACCACCGCCCAGGCGGGATGCAAAACCTTCCCACAGTTCCGTGAACCCCACACCCCGCTGCCGAAACTCCCCTTGCATCCCTTCCTAGCCAGTCTCCCCCCAGCTCCAAGAAGCAGCTATTAATGTGACTTCTGTCACTTGGCTGAGTCACCTGAATGCACACTTTAAGACTGGCCTCTCATGCCGGGTATGGTGGCGCACGCCTGTAATCCCAGCACTCAGGAGGCTGAGACATGAGGATCGTTGTGAGTTTGAGGCCAGCCTGGGCTACATAAATGAGTTCAAGGCCACCCTGATCTGCATAGTGAGACCCTGTCTCAAAAAAGACAAAAAAAGACGCCTCTCTCCTCCCACCGCCTGTGTGATTCATTCTCGTTGTGTCTGTCTGTCTGAGGTTTGTTCCTTCTTCCTGTGCTTGTGTTCTCCATTGTAAAGTGGGCCGCACGGTTTGTTTATCCGTTCTTCTGCTGGTGCATGTGTGGGTTGTTTGGGGATTTGCTCATTACAAATAAAGCTGCTGTGAACATTCTTGGACGTAATGTTTGGTGATCATCACGCACTCTTCCCTCTTGAGTATCTCTCTCACCATGGAATTGCTGGGCCATGGATTTCTCCAGGCAAGAGAAGGTGTAGTAGCAACATTTCAGGCCAGGTCCTCATTCCCAGGGAGCCTCCGCTCCCCTCTGGGTTTACTGAGAGGCAGTTGTGGATGGTTCCCAAGCCTCTGTCTTGAAGGTATCTCTGATGAAACTGGACAAACACCAGATCAGGATGCAAAAGACCTGGGATACGGGTGCCGATTCTACCTGGGAATAGTGCAGAGGAGAATCCCTTAATTCACCTGAGAGCGTCTATTTATTCACATGAGACATGAGGATCGTTGTGAGCTTGAGGCCAGACATGGGATGTCACCTTTATGTCCCCGAAGACCCTCACTCCCCGTCCCTCACCTGGCTCTTTCCTACAAGGCTGAGCTGTATAACGTATTTTAAATTGAGGTACAGTTGCATAGAGTGTACAGACCTTTAAGTAACCGTGTAGCTCTTACACTACCGCCCAGGTGGGATGCAAAACCTTCCCACAATTATTGAGGTAATTGAGAACACTGTCCTGACGATCGTACAGATGACAAAAAGTATAAGGCTATATTATATAATTGCAGCGAGCGGTTATTATTCATCCACCAGTTTACAAGCTGTCCCACCTCCTGGCCTCCAGCCCTCCTGCCCGCTGCCCAGTGACACCGGTCATTTACCCTGATCTCCAGGCCCTTGAGCCTCGGCCTTAACTTTATTCCCAGATCCAACCCGTTAGTGTCTTCCCATTCCTTTCCGGAAACTGCTCTGTCCTAGCTCACCCGTCCCTGCGACGGTTGGTCCTGATGTGGCTGCGGTGACATTCTATACCCCTTCTCCTCCGCCCCGGGGAGGTAAAGCTCGCTGAAGACAATGTGGTCACTGAAGGTGTGTCTCCGGCCGGCCCTGGCCCCGGCCCCGACCTCAGGCCCTGCCAGCTGTGTGTCAGTGCGACGTGCCATGGTGACCTTGAGGAGGCCTGGGCGGCCTTCAGCTTGCCTGGCTGTGGATGTCAGCTCTGGGCATGTGTTCGCACGACCGGGACACTGGCCCTGCACAGATTCCCAGGGAGCAGCTGAATGAGGGGCTGAAGCGCAAGGCCTTACAGACGCGTTAGGAGCATCCTCGGCCGGGCCATTGGCCAGAGCCCCACACGGATGCCACCTTTCCAGAAAGGCCAGTCGGGCTGTCCTCGGGCAGGGGCTGGAGGCAGCATGGGGCAGCGCTCAGGCGATGCACGCTCGGGCTGAGAAAACAAAGTCACCAACTGCACAAGTGTGCGGGGAGTGGAGGTCACGCTCAGGGAGAGAGAGCAAAGAATGACCGGGGGAGGGTGACTCAGAGGGACTCTGTGAAGCTTTTTATACTAACTGTAAAAGGAAGCAAACCGCCTCTATGCTGGGTGACAGACGTTGGCCTCAGGCCCTGGGGCAAAACCCGGGCCAAGCCCTGTCTCTCGGGGGTAGGATGGGGGTGAGACTAAAGCAGACACGGAGGAGTCAGGGCAGGAGAGGGAGGAGCTGGGGACGGAGGGATGGACAGGTGTGGGTGGATGGAAAGTTGGGGCCAGGTGGGGCAAGCACTGGACAGGAAGTTCAGTGACGAAGGCTTTAGAATCAAGTTGGGTTTGAGTCCTAGCAAAGTGGCCTCAAGCAAGCAAATCCTTCGTGTCTCACTTTGCTCCTCCATTGGTGGGGGATGCCGTGAGTGTCTGCTTCATAGGGTTCAGGAGGTCCAATAAAGTAATTCAACAAATACGCACTAAGCATCTATTTAGTCTACCATCTATCTATCTATCTATCTAGCGATCATCATTATCATCATTATCCACAGTGCTGGGGCCTTCACACTGAGCTGCATCCCCAACCCCTTCTATTTTATTATTTTCCTTAATTTTGAGACAGGTTTTCATTAAGTTGCTAAGTTGCCCAGCCTCGGCTTGAATTCGAGATGCCCCTGCCTCAGCCTCCCAGAGTGCTGGAATTATAGCCACGTGCCACCGAATCTGGCAGTGAGCATCTGTTATGTCCCAGGCACAGACTGGAGCCTATGGAATGTACCTGTTAGTAGAAGCACACAGACAATAAACAAGATAAAAGGAGAAAGGAAGACCTGTAAGTGCTTTGAAGATAATGAAATGAAATGATAGTGAGTGAGTAGGGGGGACTCTTTACATAAGACGGTTAAGGGAAGACCCCAAAGAATGTAATAACAAGGTTATAATAACCTACACAGCCATAGCAGCCCATGTGTGCCCAGTGCCACTCTAAGCTGGGGAAATGTGTAGCCCATTTAGTCCTTAGAACAAGCTGCACCATGCGTAAGGCCATAAATCCCCATTTTAGAGACAAGGAAAATGAGGCACAGAGGCTTCAACAGCTTGCACTGAACTACCCAGAACATAAGTGAGAGGACTAGGTTGGAACCCAGAATGCTCACCAGAGGCCAGCTGCTCACCACCTTCTCCTGCCTCACAAAAGCAGGCTGGGAGTGTCTGGCAACAGTAATCAAGGACAGCCCTTAACCATGCCTGGCACCTCGTAACGCGGTCACCAGTGTCACTGGCAGCGAGAGAGGTTGATGCTCGGAAGCCTGAGCCCCTTCTTCTGAGGTGTGGGGCATGGGGTGTGAGGCTTGTGATGTTAGGTGACTCGACTTGACCAGGCCTGGGTCCCCTCTGAGCCTCCTTCTCATGTCCCCAGGTGCCCCTCACTCCCTCTGCCTCCCCCAGGTCCCGGCACCATGGAGAGGTGAGCTGAGCCCCTACCGCCCCGGGACAGTTCCCCTACACGCATCACCTGAACGTCGCCTGGCCCGGCCTGGAGCGGAAGATGACAAGATGAACGGCCCTCTCTCTCCAGCTCTCAGGAGCTGTAAAGGGCCTGCGACTCTCTCAGCCGACGTTGTTTCTGGCCAGGGACCCAGGCGGGTGGCTCAAGGGAAAGCCCAGCCGTGCCCTGCAGGCTGCCACCAGTGGCCCAGGTTTTATTTCCGGCACCAGTAGAGCCATCGCAGTGAGACCAAAGGCAAGGCCCCTGGGTTCTTACCAAGAGATTATGGAATGAGGCTAACATCCTCCGCAGGTCTAAGACCTCACTCTTCCCATCTGCTGTCCTTGTCTCAGAGAGATAGTCCTGTTTTTTGAGTGATACTTTCCTTGGCCCTCGTCCAAGGGTGAATGGTCTTTGGGAATAAAGCTAACATTTACAGGCTTCCTGTGATAGCAACAAGAATTGCCTTGCTTTGTCCTCACAGTAGCTGGCTGGAGGAGGTTTAGTCACAGAGACAGTAAGGCCAAGAGAGGAAGTCACCCTCAGTACCCAGCTAGTGAGAGGCAAGGTCAGGATTTGAACCCATGTCCTTTGGCACCTCGGTCATTGTTCTTTCCATATTGATCCTTCTAAAGGGGCAGAAAAGGAGGAGACCAAGGAGCAGTCAAGCATTTGGGGCAGGCAGGTGGTGAGACAGGGTCTTGCTGTGTAGTCCAGGCTGGCCTTGAACTCATTATGTAGCTCAGGCTGGCCTTGAACACACAGCAATCCTCCTGCCTCAGCCTCCCGGGTGCTGTGATGACAAGTGTGTGCAGCCATGCCCACCCAGTTAAACATTTTTATAATTTTCTTTCTGCTATTAATTCTTCCAAAGGGCCAGGGATGTAGCTCAGTGGCACAAGTAAGTGCCTGCCTGGCAAGCACAAGGTCCTGAGTTCCATCCCTGGTACCTAAATACATAAATAAGTAAAAATCCATTCTTCTGAAGGTACTTGTTGCATAATTGCTGTAGATGCAAGTTATACAAAGTCCCCCAAGTCCCCAAAAGAGCGAACGATGCATTCCCAGCCTTCCAGGAGCCAGCTCTGGGGAGAAGGTGCCGTAACGCGTCACTCGGTACATGCTCCAAGTCCCTCTGCTCTTGTGAACACCCTGGCGACCAGGACCCTGATGGTTCACGACCCACACTCCATGCTGTGCGGCTAAGCACTGAGCAGCTTCTCCTAACTTATACTATGGGGTAAGCAAGTGCATAAATGCTAAGAGAAGTAGGAGAGCTGTGCGGGCTGGGAGATGTCAGAAAAGGTCCTTGGAGCTTAATTTTCAGGGAGCTCTGTCCCCAGCTTCAGTGACAATAGACATGAAAATGGAGGAATTCAGCAGGACTTGGTAGGGAAAGTGTTCATAGCAAAATGAAGGCAGGTACAGCTCTGACAAAGCATAAGCCCGGCCCCAGAGGGAGGAAAGTGGGAGAAAGTAGAGGAACAGCATCAGTGTGAGGACCTGCGGGCACACAGGTGAGGAGGAGGACCCCGCGGCCTGTTAAGGGAGAGGAGAGGGCAGCGCTTGGGCTGCCGCGGAGTCAGCACTTCAGGCCTAGTTTCTCAGCTCCAGAGGAATTCTGTTGGCTTGAGGGGAGAGTTGGCTCCCAAGAGATGACTGTCTCTGCCCGGGGCCTCTCTGGGGCAATCCAAGGTGAGCAGCGGAGAGCAGTGGAGACTTCCGGGCACAGCTGGATGGCAATCTCTTATCTTAGTGTCTTCAAGGAAGAGGGAATAAGCTAGGTAACTTTAGGACTAATAAGCCTTGTTTTGCTGGGCATTATCCCACGCACCTATAATCCCAGCTGCTTGGGAGGCTGAGACAGGAAGATCATAAATTCAAAGCCAGTCTAGGCAATCTAGTGAGAG